ATAGATATAGTGACAGGTTCCGATTTTTGAAGAGATCAGATTGAACAAGGTAGGGATTAGATTGAGATGTGATAATAGAGAGAAAGAAAGGTAAGACCGATATGGGAGAGATAGGAATTTCAGAAATGGATGGAAGGTGTGGGCACGGAGTGGAATGAGAACAGAAACCAATTGGGAGAGAAGGCAGGGCAGAAACTCGGAGTACCTTTTGATTGCCTGGTCAAGTTCTTGGAGGGTGTTATCCGCATGGTACCACCTCCTGGAGGCCAGCATGTAGAGGTCGACAAATGCAGCTACAACATCCACAATTTATTTTATCTACACGCCCGGCAAGGACAATCGTGCACACTTGCATGATGGCACGGTGTTCAAACGCCTGAAACTTTGCAGCACCTGCTAAGTAACCACCCTTCTCTCCACCCGGTAGCCGGAAACCACTGATTCGAGTATCACGTGCTATTGTTTGCAGGACCAAATCTAGCTCTCTCAGCACGTGTGTTTCCTTCCTCTTTTTTAGCATGGCTCTGATGCAGGAGATGATATGCATGAAGATGCCAAGATCAAGAGCATGCATGATCTCGATAAGAAATGCCCTGTACAGGTTGCCGACATCCGTTCCGCCCAAGGGCAACCCCCATATTGCTGCCTGTTGAGGAACAAAGGGAGGGGAAAGTGATGGGTTGCGAAAGGTATATCAGAAGAGGGGACCTGGCCTGGAAACTGAAAGGGATAGGGGTTGAGTAGGGCGTGGGTGACAGTGAAGAGATGCTGTAAATCTCTGTCCTCCCATCTCCCTCCCTCTCATCCCTCCTCACTCCCATCTCTGTCCTCCCTTCTTCCTTCTTCTCTTCCCTCCTCACTCCCATCTCTCTCCACCAATCTTCCTCCCTCTCTTCCCTCCTCACTCCCATCTCTCTCCTCCCTTCTTCCTCCCTTGCTTCCCTCCTCACTTCCATCTCTGTCCTCCCTTCTTCCGTCTTCTCTTCCCTCCTCACTGCCATCTCTCTCCTCCAATCTTCCTCCCTCTCTTCCCTCTTCACTCCCATCTCTCTCCTTCCTTCTTCCCTCTGATCCATTCTCTCTCCAGTCCTCGTCCTACCTTCGTCCTCACTCTCATCCCTCCTCACTCCCATCTCTGTCCTCGCTTCTTCCTCCTTCTCATCCCTCCTCACTCCCATCTCTGTCCTCACATCTTCCTCCCTGTAAATCCCTCCTCACTCCCATCTATATCCTCCCTTCTTCCTCCCTCTCATCCCTCCTCACTCTCAATTCTATCCTACCTTCTTCCTCTCTCTCATCCCTCCTCACTCCCATCTCTGTCATCTCGTCTCCCTCCCTCACCTTGACTGGGTGGATGCTCATGGCTTTTGCGGCATCATTCCGCGCAGTAAGTGTCGGTATTGCAAGTAACTCTTCGACCTTCTCCGCCTGACCCGCCTCCGTTCGGTACTCGGATGAAATCTCCATGTTGCTTATGTCCTCTCTTCGCACTAGACACCTGTGACACGGATATTGCGCTTGGTGGCTTGCAAAAGTGCCTGCCACCTTACATGCCTCCGGTTGGTCTGCAACGTAGGCATATAAGGCTAGGTAGACCTCATGACGTTCACCGAATGGGTCACGCATGATGAGTCCACTGTTTGTGGAGTATCGAACAAAGCGAGGGGTGGGGCAGGGAAAAGGTGTACGGATTCAGCATGCGAGAGAAGGGGGAAGGCATGTGTCTGATGGACTAATGAGTTAAGAAGTGGTAGAAGAGAGAGAGAGAACGAGGGGTAGGAGGAAGAAGGGGGTTATCTGCATGATGTTCTTGTGTGGAGTGTAATGTGTGTGATAAGCAAGATAGAATGATGGTAAAACAGAGGAACACGCATGACATTACATCTGATTTTGCCACGGGATGAAAATCTACTGCTTTGGAAAGAGTAGGTGGCAAATGGATCAAATGTACAAATTACCAACCTTTTAGAAGCCTCTCGGAAGTCTTGCATGATGCGATCCATGGCTTTTTGAAACACCACGCGGCGCGTCTCCTTCCCTGCTTCGGTTTTTGCATCCACGCCAGTCAAGGGTGGCAGCATGGCAATCATGATATGGCCATGCGGTTGCCATCTGTTCTTGACTGTAATGTTACCCAGCGTCATGTACACCGGATGCCCAACTACTCGTCCGTCAGTACTGAGGTTAGTCGCATCGCTGTATAGTATCACGGGCACCAGTATAGAACCTCTAGGCAGTAACGCTTGTGTTTCAATCCACATGTTCCCGGTCTCTGGTCCCGCGTAAATACGCTGCTTTCCGTCTGCTGTGTAAATTGGATTCGCCCACAGGACAAATCCCTCATGATTCTTACGCTACGAAAATAGCGACTCTACTGCCTTGGAGAGTGATGTTAGATAGAGTATAGCGACGTGGTTACTGTTGTGACTATCATCTACTGACTCCCACTCCTCTATTCCTGTCATTTGCACAAGCAATGACTTGGCATACTTATCCATGCCTGCTCTGTTTGTATAGCTGGGCCTCTCCGCTGTAGGCCTGCAAAACAGTGCTAAAATGTTGTTGGTGTCCGTAGCAGACAAACCCATGCCACCATTGCAACTATGGACGACCTTCAGAAACGCTTTGTCAATATCAAACGTCGGTACACCTGCTGGTAACTCAGATGGAAATTCATACCGTGGCAACTCTGGGATCTCATCTGCTTGCTCTGACTGAGTGCTCCTGGGTGCTACATCTGTCCTCACCGTATCTGCTGGCAGTGCTGTTGCTGAGCCTGAGTTCTGCTCGCTCTGATCCGCCTGTCTACGTCTTATATGCGCGATCAAATCTTCCACCTCCTCCTGCTCACGTGGTCGTTTTCTGCAAGCCTTTCTATGGTTCTCATATGCTCTCCCACTTGTGAACGACCTATTACAGCACACGAACAGCATGATGCCTTACAATATCTACGTCCGCCGCCATGGAAACCAACTATATAGTAGAGCTGAGAACCCTCAATGCAGGCCTTTCAGGCCTCCTATGAAATCTCCAGATTCGGATGCTAATGTCACCGCTAACGCCACCAGCTCTCTCGCCTCTCGTTGCAGGCAAAACTGCAGCTCAATGAAGCACAGGTTCAATCTGAGAATTGATATAGACCTGGAAACTAACTAAGCCAGGAGATTAAGATAAATTATAAGTCCAACAAGCTCCACACAATCACTAAGCTGAGAATAGGCGCCCCACGAAAGGTCTGCACGTAGGCTTGAAGAGCGCTCTGGAATATGTGTAGCTGCATCTATAAATTTAAAAAGCATTCGGATACAAAACTGTTCTTTAGCTGGCCAAGCCATGGAAACACCGTCTCGTTGTATCTGATCGCTAGGCACCAGAGGCAGATCGGGTGATCTAACTGGCGCCATTACGATGCCAATGAACTCTGAAACGGGCGGTAATTATGGCTGTTGAAGGAAACTAAGTGCAGCGTAATGTTAACAATCACAACTTTTACTGCAGTCAGGGCCGTTGGAGGATGAGTCTTTGGAAGAAGGTGAGCAAGCAGGTGGTGTTTGTCCCCACACACAGTGTTGTCCAGGTCGCAAGGGGTGGGAGTGCGACTGTGGACGAATCATCTTGGCGCTCTGCACCAACGACATTGTCGCGCGAAATATCGTAATGTACAATGCGACCCGTTATGTGAAAATCGCATGATGCGACACCAGGAAAGGCAAAATTCGCAGGCAGGGAAAAAACCGCAGGTCGCGACAGCTGGCAGGACGAAAATCCACGTACAGACCAATCCCTTAGCGACCCCCAGGTTTGTCGCCAACGAATGTTGACTGGCAAGGAACCCAGTTTTCGTCATAAGGGTATGCCAGGTTGGAATATTGCAACTGTAAATATTGTGGCAAGTTTCTCCCTAAACATGCTGTTTCTAAATCATAAATCACCAAGCACTGTGATAGCATAACCAGATGTAAAAATCCTATGAATTTTTTACAATTATTTTGTACTTGAAATCTGTAACAATAAAACATTTTTTCATGCACAAATTCCGTAATGCAGGCACTGATGAATTTCCTCTGAACTTTGATACTATACTAAAATAATTACTTTCGTAGCTGTGCAATGACTTTTTGTACCATCTATCGAGACCTTAACTCTATACGCGGGATCTGTGAGTTCACCAATGTGGCACCAACTGCCCGCTTCTGAGATTGTTGTTGACCATAGGCAGGCAGATTTCGTGTGCTGCCTGCGCGCAATTTCGTAGCCAAATGCAACTCGCCGGAAGCATGCGCGCCAATTCCCAGATCTGTGCTCGCGCAGCATTCCGGAAACCATCATCAGCGAAATCACTACTCGCAACCTGCGAGGCAACAAATGTAAATGTGCGATTACCGCCACACCCTGGCGCGCGGCAGCGCTACTGGCGGCGACGAGCGGCGAGGTGGCGCGGAAGAGCGAGGGGAAGCGCGGCATGGGCGGCAGGAGCGCGTCGTCGAACATGCGATCCCATCCCAAAGTTGTAAACGCGAACGTGCATACTATGCACTATAAACGTGCTGTGTACTTACTATGTAGCAACTCCACTGCTGGGGGGTATGTACGCATATGTGCTGATACATACAAACAACTACCCACCGCAGCGTGGAGTAGGTACAATGTCCCAACCCTGCTCCTACTCCGCGGATGTGAGGAGTTCCCACCATGTATGTGCTGTGTCGTAACGCTACCCCTTGAGGTTGGCTGGCGGTGCAGTACGGACTGACTCGGTAGTAGCCCATTGGGAACATCCTGTATAATAACTAGTTACAGTGTAGCTACTCCGCCCAACATTACAGGGTAACGCATGTTACCCCATGTAACACAACGTACATTACATTTAAAACACCACATATTGTTCTATAATTAATATCCTGCATGGTTTTTTCCCACGAAAAATGATTAACCAACAATACAAACAGCTGCAATAAACCGTGACAGCACACGGGAGCAAAACCACTACGACACACTGTCTAGACATCCTCATCCTCGTCCTCCTCGCCTCCCACGCTTGCATCAACATCTGCAAAATCCTTGTCCTCCTTCTCATCCCCCACAATCTCCTCCGGGAGGCCCCTCACTTCCTCTAAGTGTGGGTACTTGATGAAGACGTTGAAGTACTTGCCGGGGCTAAACCTCCATGCCTCTTCGTCAGCCACCCATACTGGCCCATCATCCTGCCCAGCCCACTGCAGGATGGCTGTCCGCAGCCAGTTGCGCACGATGGCGCACATGCGCGCGGCGTTGTGCACATTTGGTGAATCCTTCGTGGGGAGTCCCATCTTCCCACTAGTGTAATGCAGGATGGGATACTCAGCCTGCACCACAAGACAAGCAAGGATAAGCCAGGCCCTAAAGATGACATGCAGAGTGGGTGGGCAGAAGGGTACTACTCTCGGCACCAGCGGAAACAACACAACATTCACAAGGCTGGCAGTATGACTCACCCCGTACAGCGCGTAACCCAGGGTGTAGGGGAACACCCTGACGGTCTTGCCATCCAAGTTCCGACTGTACGCAGCTGCAATGAAGATCTCAAACTGCACCGTTGCAAACGGCATCCCCTTCTCGTCACAATGCCACGTGAGGGAGAACCCACCTATTGGATTGGGTGGGGAAGCACAAGGGATGGGGGAGGTGGGTTCAGTGAGGGGGATGAAGAGAAGGTGAGCTGCCCATGCTTGACTCGCTCACCCTGCCGTTATTCGCCGCTCACCCTTGACTCGCTCACCCTGCCGTGGGTGGAGGGGAGAGGGAGGGAAATCTGAGGAGTGGAGAGCGGATGAGTGGAATGTGACCTGCTGTCCCCGCCAGGGTTGCACTCGACGCCGTCACCTTGCCGACCGCCGCCGCTTGTTGGCTGTTGGAGGGGGAGGGAGGTAAGGAGTAGAAGGGGCAGAGATACGAGAAGATGAAGGTGAGCTTCCCCGCCGTCACCTTGCCGTCCGCCGCCGCTAGTCGGCTGTGGATGTGGTGGTCGGTAGAGTGAAGGAAAGCAAGGTAAATATGGTGAGCATGGCGCAGGTTGAACGGCCTGACAAGCCGCCATCCCCGCCTATACCCATTCAAGGGCCTCAGGCCTCTTAGAATAGTTTGCTCTGGGTGAAAGGGGGCAAGATGGTGGAGCTCACATTCAGTGCTGACACTCTCTCACAAACTACCCTAGGCTTCTCACGTACGTAGCAGAGCATGGGTTGGGAATACGTACGTGGGATAAAGTCGCCGTAGGCTTGCTGCAGCGTGCGCTGCATCTTAGTCTTCACCTTGCGCCACGGAACATCGGTTGGCATGTCCGCGCACTCCCGTGGAATGCCCACTGCGCGAAACACTATAGTTTTCCCGTGCCGCGTTATGGCCCCCCGAATACGCGTCGTCATCCTGTTCCACGCCTTGATGTGGGGTATCGAGTCCGTCAGGCATAGTTTCAACGCAGGCAGTTGAACAGGCCTTATGAGCTCGATCTCAAGACATGCCTGCGCAGCGACAACCACTTTCGGCCACATCGACAATTGCCTCTCTCCCTCAGCAGGGACACGTGAGAAGCATCGCAAATAGGCTGGCACCAGCTTTTTCTGCCAGGGTGTGGGAGAGTGGGGGAGATGGAGTTACATAGGAGAAAGGCCGGACGGAGACGGGGAGATTCGCTGCCACTCGCGCCTTGCCCGTACTCGCCGCAGGCCGCCCCCCCTCACCTGCCGAGGGAGGGATAAGGGAGGAAAGGAGGAGGAGCGGCAGACGTCGTATGGAATGGGAGCGCAGGTTGACGCGCCCTGCCCTTTCTCGACGCGAATACGATGCCGACAACCGCCGATCACCTGCGAAGGTTACGGAGAGGGAGGGACAGCGCAGGATCGACGAACGGTGAAAGGAATAGGTGCTTCCGTCTGCGCCTCCCCCTTTCTCCACGTCGTCACCTTTCCGTCCGCCCCCACTCACCTGCAGTGGGAGGGAGAAGGGAGGAAAGGAGGAGTAGCGGCGGACAAGGAAGAGGGAATGTGAGCTTCCAGCCGCGAATTGCTTGAGGTATGACGCCTCTTCCTTGCAGTCCGCTGCAACACAGGCTGCACACGGAGGGAGAGGGGGGAAGATGGAGGTTAAGATGAGGAGCGCTGCCAGCCATGCCTCGCCCGTGGTCGACTCCTTCACCTTGCCTTCCGCCTCCCTGAGGGTGCAGTGTGATGCAGAGCGGGGGAGAGGGAGATACCGAGGGTAGGTGCGCTTCAATGCGCACATTGCCCGTGCGAGACACCGTCACCGCCGCCTTCCGCCTTCACGAGGATGTTGTGTGAAGCACACGGGGGAGAGGAAGGGTGCACATGGGGCGCATGCGGGGTACAGGATAGAGCAGAAACAAGGGACGTTGCCAGAAGTCATTCACGACAGCTACATTTACGGATCCACAAATGCCAGCCGACCGCAACTACCAAGCAAATAATGCACCATAAGGCTTACCGACATAGCTTTGGGCGACATTAACGCCTTTGCCGCGAGGGCGACCTCCTCATTGAAGTCCGGCGGGGACGGGTCGTTACTACCAGAACCCGGCGCAGCGGTTTGCTGAGACGGCGAAGGAATGGGGAGGCTTGTCATAGCCTCTTGTATCGCGCGTCTAACATCAGCGGCTGTGACCTGCTTAGGGAGATACTGTCTCAAGAACGAATTGAGTTCAGTTAACACTCGTTTGTTGTCTCGCATGCCACGGTGCAGCTCCGCAACCTGGGCCGTAAGCGTAGAGTAGCTTGTGTCGCCATCATCCTGGCGAGTCTCGGTCCAGCCAAAATCGGTGAGGCCATGAAATGCACGTCCACTCAGTCCGTTGACGCCCTTCGTGCGTTCTGCATGGGCAGTGTGGAGAAAAACGAGGGGAGGATCAGTACACAGGACGCGTGAGGCGTGCAGCGTGTTGTCAAGGCAGAAATATAAAACACGCCAGTTTGACATTGGCAGATTAGGGAGTTCGCGGGTTATCGTTGTAACAAAGGTGCATACTGTACAGCTAGTGTGCACTCCTTGAAATTGGCGAAGCAGAGGCCAACGGTGGTACCTATTGTGCCGATGCCGTCTCGCAGACGAGCGGTACATGTACTCTTGTTCAGCTGCGCATTGACCCGACGCCCATGTTGCCCTCTCCCGGCCTGACCATGACCACGCTGCTCCTCCTCTTCGTCTGCAGAAAAAAGCACAGGTGGAAAATAATCTTCAAACACAAAGACGTTGAGAAATGACACCGCAGCTTAAAAAAAAACTGACCTACACGGTTCACGTAGCACACGTCATATTCATGGGCGATGTCGTCGTCCGGGGTCGCCCATCCATGCCCATTACCATGGTGGAATGCAGCGCGTCCGCTCAGTTCGTTGACGCCCTTCGTGCGTACACCCTGGGCTGTGTCTTCCAAGGTGATGGCAGGGAGGGTACAAGAGTGTGAGGCGTGCAGAGTGTGTTCTCGGCTGACTAGGCAAGAACACATACAATGCGGGCCCCGTGCTTGGCACCATCCCAATGCTAGTGACCTGCGAAAGGGCAAGCGGATGTACTGAAACATAAGTGCAATCACCCAAGCAAAATACAGGAACGGATAAGCTCTGCTCTCACGAAGTGCCGTTGGGGGCCGTACCCGTTGTGCCGTTGCCGTCTCGCTGACGAGCGGTACTTGTACTCTTGTTCAACGGTCTGATGTTCCGTCGCACTTGTTGACCTCTCCCTGCCTGACCGTTAACACGCGGCTCCTCCTCGTCGTCTGACAAGAATAAAGGCGATTGTAAGCATCCGAGAGTATATTTGCCATCAATTTGTCGCTCACCGAAATAGGTCACTAACCCTGGTCATTGCCGTCGACGTCCTCATCGTCGTCAGCGCTCGCATCACCTTGGTCATCCATGTCAGAATCAACGCCCGTACGACGACCCAACGCCCTGCACATTCGGGGGTATTCTTCTTCCGTAACAGCGATAAGCCTCTTCTTACCGCTCTGTTTACGACGACCGGCATGTGCCTGAGGGGTGCCGCTTTCCCACTCATCACCAGAATACATGGTGTTATCCCTACGCGTACGCTTATCACGCCCGGTACCACCAAGGCTTCCGGATGGCTCGGCGTCATCCGCCATCGTGAACCAAGCACGCTACGACATGCTCGGTAAGAAGCTTCATGATTCATATACGTGCTGGTCGCCAGCATGTCTCCCGCATACAGTGCAAGGAAAACAAGCTATCCTAGGGTTTGAGAGTCTGACTTCAGCAGCTCAGAAAGAGGGAGCAGACGAGGGTTTGAATGACGAGAGAAGCCACGATCCGTGTGCGTACAAATTATCCAATCCCGCTACATTGTGCACCGAGAAGACCCAAGCCACAGAACCGCAACTGCGCCCAGCCGTCGATTGACACCTCATGCTCCTCTCCGATGTTGCGTTACCAACACAACCAACAAGGGTTGAGGTGTGAGGGGGGGGGGGGGGGGGGGGGGGGGTTGGATAACTCCTCACGCTCGAACCGTTCAACTGGAGGGTTAATCCAAGGCACTATCTCGTTCACCGCAATTTAACGGTTACGATATGACTTATCCAACATTTCCATAATCCACGGTTCACATTCCAACTTGAGAGAACCGAGACATTTACCACCAGTTCCCCACTCTGTCTCTCTACGGCACTCCTTCATGGCATATAATGCAGTAGAGTGGGCGGAAGGGGCGTCACTTGTCTAGCGAAACATGATCGACCGCCAGGTAGTTGTTCTGGAAGACTCACAGACGTTGCCCATGGATGAAGGAGCTACAAACGACACTGCCCAGCCTCGCCCGCCACGCACAGTCTCGCAGTCGCGGAGCCATGAGCAGTTCAAGGCTAACTGGAAGCTTTTCGGCTTCGGCGGGGGCGAGTCTCCGATTGACGACGATGATGTTGAAGCTGCCGGTGCGACTGTAATCCCGGCGGAATGCGATGTTGAACCGGCCGTGAAAGCGGACTCTTCTCCAACCATGGTGCGGCCGAGAACACTGCGTGCAGCACTTTTGGCGGCTGCGTACAATAGCCCGGGGGAGAAGAAGAGTGTGGAAAAACGCATTCGTCACACCAATCCGTACATCAACGAAGAGGAGCCATGGCTCACCAAAATTATGTCCCGAAATGCGCGGAATCGCGCTGCACGCAGCGATGTGCCAATCCCGCCTGATAACACGGACAACCACACGGGGCAGGCTCCGAAGCGCCTCAGGGGAGACGGAGAAGCTCATAAAGTATGCAAAAAATGCTCTATCGGGCATGGGAGCGACAGAGGTGATCCTTGAGCCTTACTCACTCCCGTTTCGCTAAGCCCGATATGATTGCTAATGGATGACTGAAAACGTCACATTACCCCGTATTCATGTATGTTGTCTGTACAGTTGGGAACCGTGCATCACGGGATCGCGACGAAAGCCAGAACCCGTGGGCCCGTTACGACAGGCACATGGAGATGTCGCTGCTCTTGATGCCGCATCATTGCACCATAGACCTCCTGGGATCCACGGTGACGCAGAACGACGATCAGCAGTATCAGACGGACCATGAGGATGAGGTCTTCTGAGCCACGTTGATGATAATTGTGGTTGTTATTGCGCATTGTTGGTCTGCTGCAGCATTGTCTAAGTTATTGTTGTGTTAAGGTCCTATGTGTGTATGAGTTTTGTTACGTTTATATTGCAAATTGCGAAGATGTACCGAAGCATCGAGTATGCTCCCGTCTCGATTGTTATGTGGTTTTGACGACGTTGACCACGTCACCTTCACTGCCCGATCGTGCGCATCTACCCTGCAGATGATAGATCTTGCAGGGAGTCGAAAATGGTTTCAGGCCAATGTGCGTTTTGAGTACCGAGAACAGTGCAGTGCGGTGCAAAGCGACGTAGACAACTACTAGGAACTGCATAAACATGAGGGATGGATGCCAAACCTTAGGGTCGGAACACACACCGTTGGGGTATCCGTAGAGCGTGAAACGAACCCCATTGTATGGTGTCCGGGGTCCAGGCAACCAGCCAAGTTCACCGCACATTACCGTAAAGGTTCGAAAACATAGCGCAACCAACCGAAGTGTTTTCATACTCAAAATGGGCAGGTCGACGCATCCAGCACAGGAATACGAGGTACGCAAGACCCTCTTAGGGTTTCGATCAAATATGTTGTGGGGTAATCACGTAACCATCTTACCCTGCCGGACCTCGAGCGCAGAGAAAGAGCAGCCGACAGTCTCACCCCTTATGTGACGCGCCGTCTCCCTAGATTTCGGCTCGCGTATGAAGGCAGCAGCACCGCTAATGACCCAGGCCACGCATTCCGGGCGCGCATTCTTAAACCCACGACAGAAAATGTTGTTCACCGCCATAGTGCTGCCTCTGTTCGTACTGTCGGTGGTTACTTGCAAGTGCGAACGGAGGTTTGGGTCGTCTTCTGCCCACATCGCACACCGGCTTTCAGATGCGTGCTGCGAAGTCAGAGCGGCTAGCTTAAGACGAGAGCAGGGTGACGCGAATACTGTCAGTGCAGAGCAGGCACAGAATGACGCACCTCCACCTCCAGACACGAGACAACACAGTGTGCATCCCAACATTCCCGATCAGCCAGAGGCCATGGTTACTCACACCAATCTGCCTCACCATGGTATCTCAGAAATGCAGACCGATGACCCGGTGCTTGCTTCATTTGATACTCCACGGGAAGTGTTTAAGTTCGTCAAGTCCTTCCGTAATGGCGTTGGCATGACCAAGGACGAGGCTAAATCTTTTTTTAGACTCATCAATCATCCAGGCTTCAACAGGGCCGACGTGAGGGCGTGGGGCGGACTCAAAGACGTCGATCGATACGCCACTGATGTCCTAGGGCTTCATCACGGTACTTGGACGAAGCAGATGGTGATGGTGGAGGGGATGACTGAACCGGTGGAGCTGGAGTACTGCGATTCTCTGGCAGTAAGTACTCCTCGCGCAGTACGTAACAGTATCGTTGTGCTTGCCTCTCGTCTCGTAACCCACTTTCCCCTGGAATGTCCTATTTGCACATACATACGACGCTACTACGTGAATTTCCGTGCTTCGCTGTGCGCACCCCACCCAACCACTCCCTCCCACAGGCTATACAGACCTTGTTTGGAGACCCTGAGAACAAGTCTGGGTTTGTCCTACGACCACGAGTGGAGCTCAACGCCGATCTGGAAAGGGTCTTTTCCAGACCGGAGACCGGGTTGTGGTGGGAGAACGCCCAGGTATGTCTGCAGCTCACTGTTGTTGTTGTGTATCGGGTGTATGCATGCGCAATAGGTGGGTCCTGGACCCGGGCTTGACACTGCATGATATGTGTCCTGTCGCTGCGTGCAATACAGAAAGACATTCCTAATACGGACGGTGTAATAGCCTCGGTTATTGCATACAGTGATGTCACCCACTTAAGTCACAACGGTCGGCAAAGGGTGTGGCCCCTACAACTCACCCTCGCTAACATCCCCCGTGAGGGCCGGTGGCTGGATTCTGGATGAGCCCTGGTAGCACTTTTGCCAATGGGCGAACCCGACCTCAAGCCTGCAGTGAAGACACGCTTGTTCCAGGCGTGTATGGACATCATATTCGAGCCGCTAATCAATGCTTCGTACAGGTGCATCCGATATGATATTCTTGGTTGTTTCAGTTTGGGGCGATAAACTGGATGGCTATCTAAACCCGCACCTACGTTGACTGTTTGTGCATGAGGTGCAGCGGGACGGCCATGGTTGATCCGGATGGGATACAGCGAGTTGCTTACCCCATGATGTACGCGTACGTGTGTGATTACCCGGAAGGGTGTAAGGTGACTGCAACTATGCAGCAAGGCTCCGCACGTCCTTGCTCAATGTGCGAAGTGCCAGGGGATAGTCTTGACTTTGTCGACCGTCTCTTTCCGACTCGCTGCCCTAAGAAGCAAATGTCAATGGTGCATGACAAGGAATTGTGGAAGCCCATGGGCACACATCCCGTAGAGGTGCGCGAGACTCCGCCGTTTCCTATTTTAATGTCTCGGTCAGCGTTGGCGAGCAGCAAACTACTATCCTTACACCTATAGCTATCCTGTCGTGCAGAATGCTTTCTGTAAGTGGGCTTTCGCCACAGAGCGCTGGGGCAACCCATACGGGACAGTGCTGCCTGATGTGATGCACGTGGTGGACCTGGGTCTTTGGAAACATATCCTGGAGCAAATACGGGAAAAATACTCGCCTGGACTTCTGGCTGAAATGGATCGGTAAGCTCATGCGTTTCTGGGCGAGAATCTATACCCTAAACCTGGGATTCAGGTGGCATCTACTTGTGCTAATCCTGGTGTGGTAATAATGCACATGGCGTATACTTGTTACAAACGGCATGCCATCCTCTACTTGGTAACGAGAGCAGCGGGCCTGAAGTTGCCAAAACCCGGCCGGTACTTCAAGGGAGGGGCAAACTTTGCAGCCGCGGAACATCGTGCCATGATGCAGGTTGCTCTTTTTGTCTTCGACGGCATCCTTGACGCACATGAGATGCATCTCATTGTGTTGTTCCTGGAATGGTATGAAGCAAGCTTCCGCGTCTTGGGACACACCAAAGCCTCTATCAATCTGGTAGCCCGCAAAACAGAAGTGTAAGTTTGGGGCTGCACACCTCTTGTACGTGACCGGGGTGGGGAACCTGAAACGCGTACACCGTGCCCGAGGCCATTTCGTGAAACCTCCCTACCGACCCCGGTTCCCTGAAATCACCCTCTTTGGTTGCGTGCAGGTTGATAAACCGCTGCAAGGTGGTCTTTCCCAATCAGAAGTCAGCATGGCGCCTAGTCAAAGTTCACGCCTTGGCGCACATTCCTTATGCCATGATGACACGCGGGATTCCAGAAGAGTATTCCACTAACACGTTCGAGCACTCGCATGTGTCACTTGTTAAGAGGCCGTACCGCAGCTCTAACCGGCGTCAAATCCATGCAGCTATCACCGTTGCTGACGATATGCGAAGAGCCATGCGTGCTCTGCCATGGAGGGACTCGGTTGACACACAGTACATGACAGCCATGAGAGAGGTAAGTGTATCATGTATTCATGCGTTTTGCCCACATTGTTGTTTTAGTGCTGTCCATCCACCAACATCTGTGCCTCATGCCTCCTTCACCATCGCAGTCAATTGAAAAAGGGCTCCCTGTGCTGACGAAGACGTCGCAGCGCATGGTGGTTCCTGTGGACACTAGAGGCGGAGGGAGGGGGGAGGGATTGTGGCACACCTTCATGCGGGCGATGCCGGAAGACATGCGTGTGTTTGCACACACGTTAACCAACGCTGGCACGAGGATGGCAACAGTACATGTGAGTGCGTACAGCCAGTGTGGGTGAGGCATAAAGGGTTGGGGAGGGAGAAGGGGATAGGCAAGCCTGGGTGGCGAGGGAGTAGGGGAAAGGCTACCCAGGGTGGGGAGGAAGAAGGGGATAGGCAAGCCTGGGTGGCAAGGGAGTAGGGGGAGGAAAGCATAGGTCACCAAGGCCATGTGGGAGGCAGAAGGGGACTGGATAGCCAGGGTTGGGGGAGGAGAAGGGGTAAGGATAGCCGGGTAAGGATAGCCAGGGGTGGGAGGGAGATGGGGAAGGGATAGCCAGGGTTGGGGAGGGTGAAGGGGAAAGGCGAGCAAGGGTGAGGAGGGAGAAAGGGAAGGGTTAGCAAGGGTTGGGGAGGGAGAAGGGGATAGGCATGCCTGGGTGGAGAGGGAGTAGGTGAAAGGATAGCCAGGGTTGGGGAGGAAGAAGGAGAAAGGCGAGCAAGGGGGGGGTGGAGGGAGAAGGGGAAGGGATAGCCAGGGTTGAGGAGGGAGAAGGGGAAAGGCAAGCCTGGGTGGAGAGGGAGAAGAGGAAAGGCGAGCCAGGGTGGGGAGGAAGAAGGGGATAGGCAAGCCTGGGTGGAGAGGGAGTAGGTGAAAGGATAGCCAGTGTGGGGAGGGACGCGGGTTTAGGCCAGCCTGGCGGAGATCGAGATGGAGGGAGGCAAGCCTGGGTTTCAACCCTGGCAGAAGGGGAAAGGGCATGCGTGGGAGGCAGGCGGGGAAGGGAAATGCAAACCTTAGCGTGGACCCTGGAGGGGAGAGACGTTTACAGGTTGGAGAGGGAGAGCCGCGGAGGCAAGCCTGGGGGCGGAATCAGAGGGGGACTGGACCAGCGTAGGGGGAAAGGAGGGAGGGGGGTGGGATAGCCAGAGTGGGGAATGTGACCTGGGGAGGCCAGACAAGGTTGGGGAGGGAGAAGGGGGGTCATGAGCCAGGGTTGGGTCGTCACAATGGGAATGGCCAGCCAATTTGGGGTATGTGATACGGTTGGTTATGACCCATGGCTATGGCTGTGCATCCCATGCTGCAGTAAATCCCTTGTTGTGGTGGTATGCAGGTGCACACGGCACTGGCCCTTGGAACCCAAGGTGAGGGCGACAATCGGACGGCCGATCCAGCGTGGGTGCGGGCTTCACCGAGCTTCCATGGGAAGCCTTGCTTCTCGTTTGTGCACATCAACATGAATGGCCACGAGACTATCGCGAAGGTTCTGCTCCTTTTTAGAGACTCATCATTGCCCGAGGATGGCTACGCATTTGTGAAGCTACTATCACACATTGGCAAAGACAGTCACACACAGGCGCCGCGCCTTCAGTTTGCGGGCACAGATCCCAAAGAGCATGGATACGCTGTCCAGCCTGTGGCGAAGATCTACCAGTTGCTGCACGTGGTGCAATCTTTTCAGGAAGCAGACGTCCTGTACCACAATCAGCGGCTGTTTTGAGATGATACAAAGTTAGGTTGATCAAATCGTGTGATTGACCTGTCAGGTGTGCCGCTGGAAAGTTGCAACCACTTTGACCAGTGAGCGTATGTAAATGCCTAACTCTGATCAAGGGGGGGCTGGCATTCTCGCACTGCTGTAAGGAATTGCACGCCAATCCGACACAGTTGTATTACCCGTAAATTCTTCATGGACATGTCGTCATATTCGGAGTCCGTCATTTATTTTTGCACTGGATAAGCATCCTGAATCCGTTTAAAGCGCATGTTCCGTTTGCCAAGGCAGAACCCTGGCGATCGCTTTGATTGGTTGGGCCGTTTTTGCGCGAGCTTGGATGTTTGAGGTTGGGGCGGGCAATCGCCGGGGCACACGTATACCCATTCTGTGGAGTGGCGATGGAGTTGCCAGGTAGTGACGAGTCCACTTGGATTTACACTGTAGGGACTCTGTTGGAGCCATCGGAGCATTGGATGAGTGGGTGTGTAGTTGGAGATTGGTTGGAGTAGGGGGTCAGTAGTGAGTGTAGCCACAGTGCAGACCGAAATGTATACTCCTGACTACCACTGTCCAAAACACCCCCCACCAAAAACAAATTTGGGATGCCATTGAGCCCAGCAGCTGTGCCAGCGAGCTGTTCGCCGGGAAGAACGGGTCCCACAGATCTGCCAACGATGGACGGTCGATGATTACGACGAGGTTAAAGGAAATTGTATGTATAACGCTTATTAGCATGTTGAATGCATCGTCGAGAATGCGTTTTATACTCGCACTTCTTACCTGAAAGAGCCCCAAGGGGAGCGACGGCACGCGATGTCAGGTCCCTCTGTTGCCTCCTCTCCGCTGCCGTTGGCATCGCCTCATGTTGCACCATCTGCTTCTCATCCTTCGAATGCTGCTGTGATTGCTGCTGCTGCTGCTGCTGCTGCTGCTGCTGCTGCTGCTGCTGCTGCTGCTGCTGCTGCTGCTGCTGCTGCTGCTGCTGCTGCTGCTTCTCCGCCCATGCGAATGCAGTGCGGGGCCCTGACACGCAGCGAGGCGCCTTCAAAGCGTCTGCAAGAGGACGTGAGTGAGCATGCGTTACAAACTCAAACTGGATGATGCAATTCGACATTCTTCGTTGCAGTAGCAAGGATGGCGTACCTGGCTTCTTAAGGAGAAGAGGTGTCCGCAGGCTAGGCACGCTGCGAAGAGTCAGAGCAGTTGTGGAAGCCATGGCTGCAGTCGTCCGCAAATATTCACGAAGCACAAGGAGCAACGGTTTCTAATATCGCGCGTGAAAAGAAAAGGCGACGGGCGTAGGCTTCGTAGACTCTGTCAAATGAGAGTTGCGAGCTTGGGAGCGTTTGTGTTAGCTGAGCGTTGCAAGGAATGAGGCTCTGGGATGACGAGTTGGAACATCGTGGTTGCGTCTTTAGGGCGTGTTACATGTTTTAAAACTGGCTAAAGTCCGGACAACCGTCCGAGAACGGTTCAGATTCCGAATCTTGGGCAGTACGAGTCCAACGTTCGGACTAAACCTCGTCCGACGTTGTAATAAAAACATTTTCAACCTGACGAAAATTCGAATATTTGCGAGGTTGTAGCCACGATCACGAACGAATCACGATAAAGGTAACACCAAAGCGACCTGAAAATTTGAATCGTTGACCAATGATTTTGCGTTACTGTTACGTCCGTCCACTAATCGAACTGTAATCGTCTGGTCGATTTGGGAAGGCAATTCGCGCAAAATGTTCCATCACCGGTCCGATCGTTGACGACGTCGCAAGAGGTCTAACGATGCAATTCACGAATCACAACGAGAAAGGTAACCACACAAAAGTCTGGACGACTGCCTGTCCGGACGGGCTGAGGTTAAAAATGTAACACGCCCGCCCGCCTAAACCAGTGCTGCTCCGCGGCACCGAATTCGAATTGCTCGAAGCGGCACACAATTCCATTCGCACGCGCCTCGGTCATTCCAGAAGCATTCCGAGATGAAGTTACTACGTGCTTCGGTGGTGTACTCTTGGGCTGGATGGATGCTATGTCGCCATTTGTTTACAGGGTGGAATGCAATAATGGCACAAAGAGATCAGGTGCCAAGTGTAGTTTTCACTGTTGACAGTTTTAAGAAATCAATATTGATAAGATATCTGGAACGAAACCCATTTTTTTAGATACGGTGAGATATTAGCAGTCTCATGGTTCAGGTAGGCTGCAGCCACCCAAGCCATACATACTGAGTGGGTTGGGTTGGGTGATAGTGTAGATAGCATTCTCCTATCACCAAGCCTCAATCCTCACCGCAATCAGTCAGTTGAGATAGAGCTGGGAGAAACAGGAACAGGGCAGAGAAAGACAAGGCAAGTAAGGAAGGGAAAGAGGAATCCAAGGGACCTGGTAAAGTGACTGATTTGAGACAGAAGAATTAGAGAGGCCATGACATGACATGCCATGGACTGTAGGGGGAACCCTGGTGCAGACAAAAAATTGTGGAAGTCTCCAGAATTCATTATGAATGACCCTCACTCACTACACCTATGATCTCGCAACTCAGGTTTGCGAAAGCTTGGGTCTGACCAGAAGTGGAGCAACCGGTATTCTGGTGACCACCTGGCACAGTGCCTCACAGTAATTACAGTACCTCACAGTAATTACAGTGCCTCACAGTAATTACAGCGCCTCCCAGTAATTACAGTGCTTCACAGTAATTACAGTGCCTCACAGTAATTACAGTGCCTCACAGTAATTACAGTGCCTCACAGTAATTACAGTACCTCACAGTAATAACAGTGCCTCACAGTAATTACAGTGCCTCACAGTAATTACAGTGCCTCACAGTAATTACAGTGCCTCACAGTAATTACAGTGCCTCACAGTAATTACAGTGCCTCACAGTAATTACAGTGCCTCACAGTAATTACAGTGCCTCACAGTACTTACAGTACCTCACAGTAATTACAGTGCCTCACAGTAGTAACAGTGCCTCACAGTAAACCCTAAACCCTAAACCCTAAACCCTAAACCCATAGTGTAGATAGCATTCTCCTATCACCAAGCCTCAATCCTCACCGCAATCAGTCAGTTGAGATAGAGCTGGGAGAAACAGGAACAGGGCAGAGAAAGACAAGGCAAGTAAGGAAGGGAAAGAGGAATCCAAGGGACCTGGTAAAGTGACTGATTTGAGACAGAAGAATTAGAGAGGCCATGACATGACATGCCATGGACTGTAGGGGGAACCCTGGTGCAGACAAAAAATTGTGGAAGTCTCCAGAATTCATTATGAATGACCCTCACTCACTACACCTATGATCTCGCAACTCAGGTTTGCGAAAGCTTGGGTCTGACCAGAAGTGGAGCAACCGGTATTCTGGTGACCACCTGGCACAGTGCCTCACAGTAATTATTATAATTTTTAAACACATTGATGTTTTTCAAAATTGTGTATTGTGAAAGCGAAGCTGACTGTACCGAATATTTGGCAGCGTCGAAGCGCGTTAAATGCCCTTCTCCAACTACAAAAACCGTGGGTTGGAGTTCATTCCCTCCACCCACGTTTCTCGTTTTCCAACGGCTCAATCAACATTTCCGTTCGAGTAGTTCTTTTCCCCGTCCAAGCTGGCTAAAACTCGCACCCTTCCCAGAGGCGAGTCACCCTCAACACTTCTGCAAGACATTTTCAACCACAATCGATCTACAATGGCGTCTACGCCGGCACTTAACCGCGTCAATTCGTCTGCGCCGGTTTCCGACTCCGACCGTAACGCCCGAGAAATGACGGGCGATCGCCGTAACAAGCAGCGGGCAGAGGAAGGATCGCCCGCCCCAACTGCCGTGGACGTGCTGTTGGGCGGGCTCGAGGTCAACAAAAACTCGAGCCCGCCCCAGCAGCAGCACCCCTCGGCCCCTGTGGCGCCTGTGGCGCCTGTGGCGCCTGAGGCGCGTGTGGCGCAAGTGGCGACGGCGGCACCTGCAGCACCTGGGGCGCCACACGCGCCTGACGCGGAGCACACGCCGGCGCCTGTGGCTGGACCGTCGCGTCAGCGCCAGAGGCGCCGAACATCGACTTCTTCTGACGCGACGACCCCGGCGTTGACCAACGCGTTGACTCCGGACCAGGTCGCTGCGCTTCTGTCCCTGTTACAGCAACAACCCGCCAGCGTTACAGCTACGGAAATTGCACAACCCGCGGCGTCTGCATCTGCTAAAAAGGAAAACGCAAAAAAAGAAAAAGGAGCGCGAGGAACAACGGCGAACCGGCACAACAAGGAAGCACCAGCCAGCATCCCACCTGCGCCAGCGGCCGACAACGACACCGACGGCTCCGACGACGATGATGGTGAGGCTCCGGTCCATACCGCAAATTTTCATTCCATGGAGCATCTTCCCCCCCTCCCCTCTACTACTAACACCACTTGGTCGGCGGCGACGTTCAACGACGAGCACGTGCGGGCGAAAGCGGAGATTCTGGAGGACATGCGGGCCTACCTGAAACACGCAGAGCACAAGCTGCAGCACGGCGACTTGGCGGGCGGACTCGAAATGGTCGTCGCCGCCCTCGACGACATTTCCGCGCGCTTCGACATGTTTCAAGTCGAAGACGCATCCGACGACCGCGTTGCCAAGCGCTACAAGATGTACCTGCAGAAAAGCCTTCTCACCTCGCGGCCGTTCAAGCAAGCCGTCGCGGACGTGGCTGCCATGGACCGAGCGGCGGGCGCTCACGCTCGCTCCCACCGTGGTGGAAACCACGGCGCCAAGGCGTTCGCCCCAAAACGTGGCCCTCCAACCTCGGGCAACTTCCAAGGCTTTCGTGGTTCGTGTTTCCGCTGCGGACAGCCAGGCCACGTCGCCAATGCCTGCCCTCGGAATGGGCATGGGGGCCAAGGACCCGCACCGGTTGTGTAAGGTTCGGGCTATGGTGAAGCGCGCCTCTAGGCGCGATGCACGGTGCACTTTTGAGTGCTTAGACCGTGGGCAGCCTAGTAGGGCTTGCGGTGGCCATGGCCAGCCCTAGGATAGGGTGGTAGAAGTTGGCCATAGGCCTAGCTTTGGGGAAGAGGAAGAATGCCTCTCGGTCCCCTAGGATAGGGTAATAAGGTATGGCCGTAGGTCTAGCTTTGGGGAAGAGGAAGAATGCCTCTCGGTCCCCCGTATGCCCCAATTGATGGGATGAGAAACATGCTAGTAGGCATGACAATGTATGACCATGAGAGATAGGGATTTTATTAAAGGCCTCTCTTGTTTGTCAAGGATTAAAAAAAAAAAAAAAAAAAGGAGGAGAAGGGGAGAGGGAGAAAAAGAGAGTACGTACGCTCCTCACTCAAACCGCCACCATGCATGGCAAGGATGAGCAGCCCTGGTTCAACCGTTGGAAGCCCAAAAAGGGTGAGAAGGAGCAAGGGGGGGGGAGTAGGGCATAGCGATGTCGCCTAGCCCAAGTAAAGGCACGCGCGAAAAGACACGAGCTCATGACAAGCGAAGCATGCAAATGCTCAAACAACAATGGAAACACATCCAAAAAGAGAGGGAGAGAGAAAGAGCGAGAGAGAGAGAGAGAGAGAGAGAGAGAGAGAGAGAGAGAGAGAGAGAGAGAGAGAGCACACGAGGGAAGCATGATCATGGTCCCAAGCATCAATCCTCCAGAAAAAAAAAAAAAAAAAAAACGAGGGGAGGGAAAAGGAGAGAGTATGAGAAAGAGTTTGCCAAGGTGCGATCGGACGCCCTATATGGAATGACGACAAACCGTCCGTATGGTCCTCACTGTTGACGGTTCATTTTTCGCGCATGCATGTATATGTCACACGCATGAACTAATTAAGGCGTGCAACCTGATTGGTCGCGTTCATTTCCTTGCCGTACATACAGGAGCACAACAATACGAGGTGCCTCGCGACGATGGCCCGTACGAATTCGCCGTCACGGACAAAACCGTCACACGGATGTGCGGTCGGCTTCGCTCGACCTTTGCGTGGTGGAGCTCATGGTGCCCTTGCAGCCTCGTCCTATCCATCATCGCCAACGGTTACTGGCTTCCATGGAGCCACGGCCCACCACAGGCCTTTCGGGAGCGTAACCACGCTGGTGCATACGCGCATGCGTCGTTCACACGTACTGCCATCCAAGAACTCACAGAGACCGGAGCTGCAGTCGAGACAGCCGCAAGCGAGCTTACGTGCATAAGCCCACTTAACGTGGTCGAGCAGAAAGAAAAATGCAGGCTCATCCTCGACCTGAGAAAAGTCAACACAAACCTCATCGTCCCAAAATTCAAGTACGAAGGACTCAGCCGTGTGGCAGACGTGGCACGCGCTGGGGATTGGATGTTTTCTATTGATCTCAAATCCGGGTACCATCACATCGATATCCATCCTTCATGCTGGAAGTTTCTCGGTTTTGGATTCGATGGGCGCACTTACTCCTTTCGTTCATTGCCGTTCGGTCTTGCGACAGCCCCATTCATCTTCACGCAACTCATCAAGCAGCTAGCCCGTCGCTGGCGGGAGCAAGGCATCCGAGTAGTACCATACGTGGACGACATCTTATTCCTTTGCCAGTCAAAAGCTCACGCGTAGGCTACTTGCCACCGTGTAATACTGGAGCTTAAAGCAGCAGGTTTGGTGATAAATGCGAAGAAATCACAGCTGTCACCATCGCAACACCTTCGATTCTTGGGTGTGGAGCTAGACACGGCCACGGGCCGATTTACCATCGGTCCCGAACGACGAGCCTCACTACATGCAACCATTCGGAACCTGTTGAGCGCAAGCAAGGCATGTCGACCCGTCTCAGTCCGCCAAGTGGCCAGAATCACAGGCATGCTCGCGTCAATGGGCGTCGCGCTGGGCGCAACAGCTCGTGCTTTCAGCCACGCCATGCTACAAGTGATCAATGACGCACCTTCATGGAAAAGCAGCGTGATCATCCCCCCAAACGCGGCTGAGGAGCTAAACTTCTGGCTCGAAGAGTTTGATAGGTTCAACGGTGCACCGTTTCACGTTCGAAACAGCTACGACGCTGTCATCCATGTGGATGCTAGCGCTCACAGTTGGGGCGCCACTTTGACCACATTTCCTGGCGGCCTCGAAGAAGCTAGCGCAACAATGCCAGAGCCGCTGCGAGCGACGTCCAGCACACGGAGGGAGATCGAAGGTGTGCTTTGGGCACTCCAAACATACTCCAGCAAGATCACGCACAAACATGTTCTTGTGCGGGTGGACAATCAGGGCGTCTTCTTCATCCTTCGCAAAGGTGGCTCGCGCAGCCCCGACCTTACCACGGCCTGCCAAGACATCATTCGACTATGCATGGAGCACGGCACGCGTCTAATCATCGAATGGATCCCACGGGAGCTAAACTCACACGCCGATGAGCTCTCAAAAGCAGTCGATCATGACGACTACTCGTTGAAGACGCCGTGGTTCCGCATCTTAGAACGGCGTTGGGGTCCCCATTCCATCGACCTCTTTGCAAACTCCCGCAACTCCCAGCTGCCACGCTTCTGCACGAAAATTCCTCATCCACAAGCCACCGCAGTCGATGCATTCTCGCTCGCATGGACATCAGAAAATAGCTTTGCGTTCCCCCCGCCCCATTTAGTTCCGGCCGTCCTCCATCACGCACAGCGCACCCGTGCATCGCTCACATTGATCATCCCACACTGGCCGGGTGCAAACTGGTGGCCACTTTTACAACCTTCCCCACGCAACTGGGCACCGTACATCCACGCGCACATTCCCTTGACACACGGCAGCCAATGCCTGGCAGCTGGAACACATTCCGCTGCTTTTTCAGGCACTGGATTACCACACAGCCCAATCATCGCACTTCGGGTGGTTTTTGACTAATTGAGAATGTACGCGCCTTGTGTCCAGATCCGCTCCCAAAGCTACACAACCAACTCATCAACATGCTCACACAATCGCGAGCGAATTCGACAATCCGTACATACGAACCGTACTGGGCCAAGTTTCGGGCCTTCTGCACAAAGGTGGATCTTCCATTTCTTCCCGCATCCGACATGACCCTCGCGCTATACTTGGTGCATGCAATCCAACGCAAAGCAACCTTGTCTGTAGTGCAGCTCACGTGCTCGGCAGTCAGCTTCGCCCATCGCATGACTGGAAGCAAATGCCCGACTGTCGGACCGTTTACCACCCAAGTGCGGGACTACGCGAAACGACACTGCCCTCGCCCTAGTCGTTTGAAGGAGCCCGTATCAATCCAACAAGTTCGGGACATGTCCGCGAACTACTTGCAGTCGGACAATCCCGCTGAATTTCAGAAGGGGTTGATCCCTATCCTCATGTACTCCGGATTTTTGCGATACTCCGACCTCGTTGCCATCCAGTGGCAAGACAGCCAATTCGACGATGCAGTCATGTGGATCCTCATCCCACACTCAAAAACGGACCAGGCTGGTCGTGGAACCTGGATTCCCATCGCCGCAACGACGGACCCTTGTTGCCCCGTGCGCTGCACCCAACGCTTCCTCCAACTCGCTGGCTATGGCCCTCATTCCGAGGGGTCGTTGATTCGCGTTTTCAGCCACGCTTCAGCCAACAAGGGCCAGGCCAAGCCACCCTCGTACACAACGATCCGAAACTGGTGTAAAGAAGCATTCGCCAAAGTAGGACTTGGGGAGCAGCAGCTCGGCACGCACTCCTTCCGAAAGGGCGCGGCAACCGTAGCCGCCAACATCGGCGTGCCGGACAGAATCTTCAAAAGGATGGGCAGGTGGCGAAGTGACACCGCCAAAGAGATGTACGTCACACCATACGTCGGACATCTTATCAAGGCATCCCGCAACCTACAGGACCCGACATACGCGCTGCCCCCAGAACAGCACGCAGAGGCACTCTTACGCAACCGCAAGCCACCACTGGCCATGTCTCAGAGGCCCCAGTTGCAATGAGAACGATGCCAAATTATAAGGAAAAGAAAGCAAGCTTTCTCAATATTATAATTTTTAAACACATTGATGTTTTTCAAAATTGTGTATTGTGAAAGCGAAGCTGACTGTACCGAATATTTGGCAGCGTCGAAGCGCGCTAAACGCCCTTCTCCAACTACAAAAACCGTGGGTTGGAGTTCATTCCCTCCACCCACGTTTCTCGTTTTCCAACGGCTCAATCAACATCCCCACCACCCACCCCGGACCAACTACAAGACCACAGCTGCTTGGACGGACGACTCCATAGCTAGTAATATTTGCATGTACTAGCATGTGTTTACGAACGATGCATATGTTGTAATAAGCCAGTTGCAATGAGAACGATGCAGTTGCAATGAGAACGATGCCAAATTATAAGGAAAAGAAAGCAAGCTTTCTCAATACAGTACCTCACAGTAATTACAGTGCCTCACAGTAATTACAGCGCCTCCCAGTAATTACAGTGCTTCACAGTAATTACAGTGCCTCACAGTAATTACAATGCCTCACAGTAATTACAGTGCCTCACAGTAATTACAGTACCTCACAGTAATAACAGTGCCTCACAGTAATTACAGTGCCTCACAGTAATTACAGTGCCTCACAGTAATTACAGTGCCTCACAGTAATTACAGTGCCTCACAGTAATTACAGTGCCTCACAGTAATTACAGTGCCTCACAGTAATTACAGTGCCTCACAGTACTTACAGTACCTCACAGTAATTACAGTGCCTCACAGTAGTAACAGTGCCTCACAGTAATTACAGTGCCTCACAGTAATTACAGTGCCTCACAGTAATTACAGTGCCTCACAGTAATTACAGTACCTCACAGTAATTACAGTGCCTCACAACTGCCAGAATTACCACCCCACAGTGCCCAAGAGCGCATGTTAATGTACGCGTGAGTGTCCATGATGTGAATGCCCAGCCCCTCCACAAGCCACGTGCGCATGTCGATGTACGCGTGATTTTGGTACCTTACAGGAAATTCGGTCGGTCACAGAGAATTCGGTCCCTCACAGAGAATTTGGTCCACCATAGAGAATTCGGCACCTCAAAACAGCCTCGGATTTACCTCAGAGCACCTCACAGTGGGCGAGAGCGCATGTCAATGTACGCGTGGGCGTCCGCGAGGGGCATGCCCAGCCCCTCCACGAGGCCTCTGGCCACCACACGGCGGTAGGCTTCAGAGGGCGGGTTCATGGGCAGCTTGCGCAGGCGGAACTTGGACAGGTCTGCCTCGGAACAGCTGATGGTGTGCGAGAGAGGAAGACAGGGGTGGCAGGTTGCAAGAGGTGACTAAAAGAATTGGAACTTGGACAGGTCGGATTCGGTACAGCTGATTGCGTGAGAGAGACGATTGGGAGGATGACAGGGGAGTGGGGGTTAGGACGGAGGGCAGAGGGCGGAGGGAGGTGGTTGGCAGTTGGAGGGTGAAGGCGGGAAGGAGGGTGGGGCAAAGCGGGATGTGGGAAGGCTAAGGAGTGTAAAAGAAATCAGGTTTTGTGAGCAGGGGTCATGCGGAAGTAGCAGAGAGGAAACAGTGTGTTGTGCACAGTGCACATTCAAATCAAGTTGGTCTGACAAGCACAGAGAGGTTTGGTGGGATATGCAGCAGTGGAAAGTGGTGGTGCAAGGCACTGTCAAGGTTGGGCAGGTTAGTCGAAATGGTGATGTGAGGGACTGAAAACAGGGGCTGCATGGGGACATGGGAGCCTGGAGGCATGGGAGCGAGCATGGGGGCATGGGGACATGGGGGCAAGGGAACATGGGGGCAAGGGAACATGGGGGCAAGGGAACATGGGGGCAAGGGAACATGGGGGCAAGGGAACATGGGGGCAAGGGAACATGGGGGCAAGGGAACATGGGGGCAAGGGAACATGGGGGCAAGGGAACATGGGGGCAAGGGAACATGGGGGCAAGGGAACATGGGGGCATGGGAACATGGGGGCAAGGGAACATGGGGGCATGGGAACATGGGGGCAAGGGAGCTTGGGCGCATGGGAGGGCATGGAGGCAAGGAGCAAGGGGGCAAGGGGGTAAGGGGGCAAGGGGGCAAAGGGGGCAAAGGCGCATAGGGGCAAAGGGGCAAGGGGGCAAGGTGGCAAGGGAGCATGTGAGGTGAGAATGGGAGCAGACCTGAAGGTGAGTATTGGGCATCCATCATCAAAGCCCAGTAGTAGCACCGTGCCGTACCAGCCATCCTGTCAAGGCATGTACGCACACATAGACACGGGGAACAACAAGGGGGAGTTACGGAGTGAGAGAAGGGCAAAGAAAAAATGTGAGTGGAAGAGTGTAGTGGAGAGCTACAGTGGAGGATTAAGGCATGCAGATTACAAGAATTGTCCAGTTTGAGAGGAACACAAAACGTCTAGTTCCCAAGGAGACACCAATATGTGCATGGTACAGGAGGAACAGGCGGAAAGGGGAGAGGAGGGGAGGCGGAAGGCTGACAGCGGTGGTGAGAGGATGAAGGGAAGGAACTAAAGTGTACCGGAAGGATCTCGTGGAAAGCAGAGGGGGATGGCTGTTGTGTTGCTGCTGTGGAAGCATAAGAAGCTCCTACTGCCGCAGCAGTGGCAGCAGCAGCATCGCTAGGCTTGGCTTGAGAGTCCAATATGGCGGAAGATGATGGCTCTACTGCTGCTGCTGCTGCTGCTGCCACTGTTGCGTCCCCTGCTGCTCCTACTACTGCCCCAGGCATTGATGCGAGTGCTGTTGGTGTGCTGCTAGACTTGAATGGGACAGAGGGTGAGGGCCCTTGCAGTGACGAGGCGGGGCCAGGATTGATGGAAGGGGCAGCGTTGAGCAAGCGGGAGGAGAGGCGTGCGAGGAGGGAGAGGGAGAGCAGCGAGTGGTTGGAAGAGGCGAGGAGAGAGGCGGATCGGGAGTTCTCCTGCGCCACCACCTCATTGAACTGGCGTAGACTGTGGGGTGGGGTGAGGTTGAGAGTGTGTGCATGGTGGTAGGGAGGGATGGAGAGAGGGAAGAGGATAATGAATGGGATGGATGAAGAGAGTGATGGGGAAGGGATGGGGCGAGGAGTGTGGGGGTGTTGGTGGAGTGTATGCAGCTGACAATGGTTACTGCAGCAGGCACTGATATGCACCTGAAACGCCGCTCTTCCGTTCCTTCACTCGTGCAGAACTGTCAACGCACAGACACTCAGGCTTACACTTGCAATTCACTCTATCACTCACTCACACACACACACACACACACACACACACACACACACACAAGCAAGCATGCACGCACACACACAAGCAAGCAAGCAAGCAAGCACGCACCCACACACACACGCAAGCAAGCATGCACGCACAGACCCACTCACGTGATCTTATACATGCGCACATATGTGTACGCTGTGTCCGGGTGCCCTCCCCTTGACCCTGGTGGGCGGTGCGCTTGCATCCCTGCCTCCCCCCCCATGCCTGCTGCTCCAGAGACAGCAGGGCCAGATACAGAGGCAGCCGCACAAGTAGAGAGAGGAATGGCAATCTCTGGGAAGGAAAAGGGCGAGGAGGAGGAGGATGATGATGAGGATGATGAGGACGAAGAGGTGGAGGAGGAGGAAGAAGGGTGGAGGTCCAGAAAGCAAACCCCGCCATGTCCCCACGTGGAGGTTCGGGTCCTTCCGAACCACATGCGGTGCGGCACGGCAATCCACTTGGAGGCTCGGGGCGGCGTGGGGTCAGAGCAGCCGTGGCAGGGATGGGCCATGCCATCCACAGCGCCTCCCTGTATGTAGCACATGAATCGCTCTTCCAACATGTTAGACCCGTAGCTTGCGTACCACACAAGAGTCTCCTCCTCTTTCCTCCACTCCTCCCTCCACTCCCCACTCTCGGTTTTCAAGCTAACCTCCTCGGGTTTGCTCTCGGGCTCGATCCCTTCCCAATAGGTTCCGTTCTCCCCTTTTGTCTCTAATTCGCTCTCACCGGCATTGGCCCCCCCCCCCCCGCCCTTCAACGGCAGTGGCTGCTGCTAGAGTTGGACTGACCCCTGCCACTCGCACCTGCTGCTGCTGCTGCTGTTGCTGCTGCGCCGTACCATTAGCAACACCTCCCATACCTGCCCCATCTTGAGTCTCTTCAGCTGCTACTCCCGCACTCTCCCCATCCCCTCTAAACCCCATGCCCCTCGTGCCACTCTCCACTTCCCCTGCCCCAACCCCTGGCATGTCCTCAAAGTCTATAGAGGCATCGGAGGGGGTCGACGGGGACGTGGGCTGACGGTGGGGGATGTGGTGGTTTTGGAAGGGGGGGGGGGGGGCGGGGGGGAAGAGTAGCAGTGGTGCCGGGAGTGAAATGGGACAGAAGGTATGATGACAGAAGGTTCATGGAATTGTCATACAGATGTCCGCGTGCACGCATGCATGTGATGGCATGGATGTGATGGCATGGATTATGGATATGCATATGAGCGGTGTAACGCACATGAAAGCATGATTGTACAAGCTCTGCTCATGTATTTTTGCAGGCGTGTGAAATGTATGGGTTGATGCACCTAAAACAATCGTGAGATGGTGACTGTACAAGCTCAGTATATGTGTTTGTAATGTAATGTTACGAGCGTTAGGAATGCACGAGCGCACACCCATGCGCACCTGCGTACCTGGGCCGTACATGTGTGATTGGCATACATGTCTGCATGCGTGTGCATGCATATATGTGCAAGTGCCTGCATGTGAGTGCACACGTTGCTGGTAGGAAGTGTCTGCATTGTCTAAGCGATTGCTCACCGTTCCACATACCTGCATGTCAACTGGAACACCAGCAGAAGCGAGAGCAGCGGCAGCGGCAGCAGTGGCAGCAACATGCGCCATCTCAGCTTGGGAGAGATGCGAGAAGAGGGCATCCATGGATAGAGCAGGGGGGGCAGTAGTGGCGGTGGACGATATGTGGGGAGGGAAGGAAGTGGGCGGGTGAGAGGAAGAGGGGGTGGAGGAGAAGGAGGCGTGGAGGTTTGCGAGGGAGTGCAGGAAGGTGGAGAGGTCGAGAGGCGAGGCGAGGCACGGCCACCACTGGGAGAGATGCTTGCGCACCTGGTGGTGGGGACGAGTGGGAGGGGCGAGGGGAGGAGGGGCGTGGGGAAGATGAGGAGAGTGAAGTAGGGAGGGAAAGAGCGAAGCCACTGGAGGCCCCATCTTCATTTGAAGAGCGGAAAGTTGGGGAACTATAACAGAGTGAAGAATGTGGCAGTAGGCTTCCTTTGGTCACAGCTGCCACAGCTGTCACAGCTGCATAATTCAAAAAGAGAGGCAAGCATGTGGAAACCGTTTTGAGGAGTGTTAGAAGGCAAGCACGTGAGGACCAGAGTGTGCTGTATCCAATCCAACACACGGTGGCGCAGCTTGAGGGCATGCATGAATTGAGCTACCTGAAGCTACCTGAAGCTATCTGAAGCTACCTGAAGCTACCTGAAGCACCGATGTTTCCTGAATCACATGATAACTCAGCTGGAGCTCACACCGCACCAACACCGCACTGCAGCTGACACTCACCTGAAAGCACCTGAAATCTCACCTGAAGAACAGTGGCGAGGCCGGACTGGGAGAGGCGGAGGGGCCATTGAGGGGGGGGAGCAGTGATGGGGGGATCACCGAGCATGGCGGAGACACAGGCAGCGAAGCACTGCTCTATGGACTCGAGATTGTAGCCCCCCTCCAACACCACCACCACCCCCGCTGCTGTTGCCCGCAGCAGCTGGTGTGAGGGGCAAGGGGAGGGGGGAGGGGGAGAGGGGAGGGGGGGTTTGGGAAGGGACGGGGAGGGAGGGAGAAGGACGGAGAGAGAGAAGAGAGAGGAGGTTGGAGGGGGGAGGGAAGGGAGGAAAGGCGAGGGGTGATAAGAAAAAGGGGGAGAGTGAAAAGATGATGGGTGAGTCATGGCGGAGACACAGGCAGCGAAGCACTGCTCTATGGAGACGAGATTGCATCCCCCCTCCAACACCACCACCACTCCCACTGCTGTTGTTCTCAGCAGCTGGTGTCCCGGCGGGTGGGGAAGGGTTGGGGGGATGGGGGGGTGCAGAAGGGAGGAGGAGAGGGGAGGGGTGATGTAGGAAGGGGGAGAATGAGAGGGGAGAGCAGGCAAGGCGAAAGGATGATGGGAAAGAAGCAGGGGAGAGGGAGGTAGGATGGAGACAACAGAGCAGGAGGAAAGGAGACGAGGTGAGCAAGGATGTGTGGAAGAGTTAGCATGCACACTGCTGGGAGCCCTGCTGGGGCGGTTTCCTTGGATGGTACGAGTGGAAGGGCAAGGGCAGGGGCGGGGGCAGGGGCAGGGGCAGGGGCAGGGGCAGGGGCAGGGGGAAAGGGCACCTTGTGTGTGAGGTGTGAGTAGCCAAAGGGTGTCAGCTTGCACCCACCAAGAGGATCGTTCACCGCTGCACCATGCCATGCCATGCCACATGCCATGCCACATGCCACATGCCATGCCATGCCACATGCCATGCCATGCCACATGCCACATGCCACATGCCATGCCATGCCATCCAAAACATGGGCAATGCGGGGAAAGCGAAGTGGCACACTTTTATGATCGCATGATGCAGGCAGCCTCGCCGTGCACTGTCTTAGCCAAGCCAACTACCTCCACCTGCCCATCAGATCAAATCAGACCCAGCGAGCACGAGCACACCCTGGGGCTGGCTCTGAGACCGATGCAGCAGCGCGGAAGGTGTTCAAGTCAGCTCACAAGTCACCTCCTCACAACAACCACTCCCCCTTTCCCCTTCCCTGCCCCCTCCTCCTCCCTCACCAGCATCAAACCCAGCAGACACGAGCACGAGCTGGGGCTGGAAGGCGTGCAGCAGCGGCAGCAGCAGCAGGTCCCAGGCGGCAAGGTAGTCCCCATCGCCGTACCCGCCTCCCGGCCACGGCACGTTCACGTTGAAGCCCTCGCCCCGCCCTGCCCCCACCATGTCGTAGTCCCCATCAGGGCCCGCCGGGTAGAACATGCCGCCCTGGTAGCTGGTGGGGTGGGGCGTGGCGTGGGGGGAAGGAGGATGGTGGGTGTGACTTGGGCGCCCATGTTACAACGCCAACGCCCCACCCTGCCCCGTCCCGCCCCGCCCCCACCATGTCGTAGTCACCATCCGGGCCTGCCGGGTAGAACATGCCGCCCTGGTAGCTGGTGGGGTGGGGAGAATGAGGATGTTGGGTGTGACTTGGGCGCCCATGTTACAACGCCCCGACCTGCTCCAACCTGCCCTGCTCCCCCATTTCGTAGTCCCCATCCGGGCCTGCTGGGTAGAACATGCCGCCCTGGTAGCTGGGGGCGGGAGAGGGGGGAGCGAAGAGGTGAGAGAGGGGGAAAGAGGGGGAGAAAGCAAGGAGGGAAGGGGAGCGAGGGTGATGGAGGAGGGGTGGAGGGTGAGGGAGGGGTGGAACTTAGAAGGGTGGGGGAGAGGGAAAAATCAGGGAATGAACGTGCCATCTTGATAGCTGGGGGATGGACCGTAGGGGGGAGAAGAGCAAAGGGGAGAAGGAGAGGCAGGGAGCGTACCGATGCACACTGAAGTAGAGGAGCGTACCGATGCACACTGAAGTAGAGGAGGCGCGGGTCGGTCCAGAACATGTGCTGGATGCCGTTGCCATGGTGCACATCCCAGTCCACCACCAGAATGCGCTGCACCCCGCCGCTGTCCTGCTCCCGTCCCATGCATGCATGCACATTCAATTTGTCCGTTCATGACGGCATGCATTCATCCGTTCATTCATGCATGCATGGGCGGCATATGATGCAATGGCATGGTGAGTGGATGACGCATGATATGGCACGGATGGTGTGGTATGGAGTGGTGCGATGGAGCAGGCAACAAGCCTTGTCCCAAGGCGACTCAGCTGAAGCACCCACCAGGAGATGCTTGGCGGCGAGGGCGACGTTGTTGAAGAGGCAGAAGCCCATGGGGCAGTGCGCCTCCGCATGGTGCCCTGGCGGCCGCACCGCTGCCGCTCCGTGATGCAGCTTGTGCGCTGCCACCTGCTGGGATAGCTGTGGTGGGGGGAAGGCGAGAGGGGGGGAGGATAGAGGCAGCGAGAGGGAAGGAGATGGATGAAGAGGCGAAGAGCAGAGATGAGAGAGGAGGTAGAAGGGGGGGAGGGAGGGAATGGAGGGTTGCAGCATTGCAAGACACATGCTTGGCATGCAGGCAGGCCTATGGATCGTCGATGCAGCGAGCCATGAGAGGCAGGCAAATCGGAGGCAAGGAAAGGACACACAGCGAATCAGCAAACAACAAAGAAGAAGAATGTGGGTGCAAGCATGTGTATGCAGACAACGGTGGGTAGGTGGGTGGGTAGGTGGGTGGGTGGGTGGGTGGGTGGGTGGGTGGGTGGGTGGGTGGGTGGGTGGGTGGGTGGGTGGGTGGGTGGGTGGGTGGGTGGGTGGGTGGGTGGGTGGGTGGGTGGGTGGGTGGGTGGGTGGATGGGTGGGTGGGTGGGTGGGTAGGTGGGTGGGTGGGTGGGTGGGTGGGTGGGTGGGTGGGTGGGTGGGTGGGTGGGTGGGTGGGTGGGTGGGTGGGTGGGTGGGTGGGTGGGTGGGTGGGTGGGTGGGTGGGTGGGTGGGTGGGTGGGTGGGTGGGTGGGTGGGTGGATAGGTGGGTGGGTGGGTGGATGGGTGGGTAGCAGCATGTGCATGAGCGAGCAGCGAGGTGACCTCAGCAACGGAGCCAGCAGCAAGGAGAGCGGAGGAGGAGGAGCCTTCGTTGAAGAAGATGGAGTTGAAGGCACGGCTGCACGCCTCCCGCTCTTCCGCGCTCAGCTGCTCGCTGCTGACGGCGCGGATGAACGCCACGTGGTCGTGCGTGTGCACCGACTGCAGCTCCTCGTCCCTCGCCTCGCGCGCTGGCACCCGGATGCACCTGAAGGGTTGACCGCATGATGACCGCGTGTTGACCGGGTTGACGGGAAGGAGGTGGGTCGGGTGCGGGGCGGAGGGGTAAGGGATTGTGAAGTAGGAGGGGTGGGGAGAGAGAAAGATTGAGAATAATGTGGGGGAGCAAAAGATACTAGAAGCAGGAAGGGCTGAAGTTGAGCGGGCAGCGGGAACGGGGGGGTTACGGGGGAGTGGAGTTGTTGGAAATAGAGGATGGGGAGGGGGTTTGGAGGGGGTGGGGAGTGGTGGGGAGAACGGGGATTAAGACAGGGGTGTGTGGACGGTCAAATCGCAAGATAAACAGGCACGAGCCCCCTTGGTGTTGCACAGGCAGAGCAAGGCGGCAAGGGATGGGATGGGAGGAGCACACAGCTCACCGTTGCGCGAGGCCGGTGGAGTGCAGGTAGGAGAAGATGCGGTGGATGCGCGCGGGCTGCTCGGGGTGGTCCATCTCGGGGTCCTGGTGCGCCATCATGCGCTCGTCGTACGCCAGCCCCACCCTCCGCGCCCCCGCCCCCGCCCCCTCCGCTCCTTCCACCGCTGCGCCTGCTTCTGCTGAAACTGCTGCTGCTGCCGTTACGGAAGCTGCTTCCGCTGTTGTGGTCGGTTTGACTGGGGGCGCTGCTGTTGCTAATGGGGGAGTTGCGGCGGGGTGGTAACCAGCCGCGGGAGGTTGCGCGGGCGCGCGATCGGAAACGGTGAGCGCGCTCATATGCGAGTCTTCCGCCGTGCTGCCAACCGCGGACGCCGACGCGAATCGCGCGGAGTCCTCTTCCGCGATTGACGGCGCGATCGACGGCGGCAACGGCTGGATGGTCATGCTGGAAGGACCGTCATGCATGGGCGTGTCATGATGGTGCGAGGACTCCATGTCGCGGCCTGGACCGATCGGCTTAGAAGAATATATACCCCAAACCGGAACTGGGCGTGATTTAGAGGGAAAATGCGGGATTTGTAGCGGTTGATAAGGGAGGACGAGATTCCAGCAGGTGTAGATTAGTAATAGTGCGGCGAGAAGGAGCCAGAGGGGTACGGGAAAGGCCGGGTGGCGAGGGATAGGAGCGAGAAACCTGGTCCACGCTTGGGTACTTGTCGCCGGTCGCTGGTCGGAGCTCTTACAAGGACGTTTGCGGCAAGCGACCGCCCAAGGTGTGGCCGTTGAGGGTTCCGTTTTTGTCCTCGAAGATTAGAGTGTTTGCCGTTTCGCGTGTTAGCCTGGACTAGAATCGAGTCGCCGCCATGGGCAGTTTCGCAGGGCTGGCGCGACAAGGGGAATCTCTGGGTCGTTGGCGGGAGGGAAGGTGGGGGATGGGATTGGAATCTGGGAAGGTGTTACGGGTGCAATGAATCGAAGTAGCGAGAATTGCACTAAGGTGTCAAACGAGTACAAAATGTGAGCGAAGGCATGAGCGAACATTTATACGCGAAACATGCAAAACGGTAACGCGGTGCGTGCGAGCTTGCTAGTGCTACGCTGGAGCGAGGCTCGGGCTAGTCCCGAAGCGTAGGCCGATACGGCCACGCCAGCAGTGCGGGGTTTGGCAAAACAGTGCGCGCGAAGTCGGCGAAGTTCCGTTAGCAGTAACGGGCGAACAATCGACTGTTGCCGTACGCGATGTAGTCGGCTCCGTAAGGAATGCCGAGAAAATTCCTTACACTACCCCCCCCCCCCCCTTAAGAAGCCCCCTCCGCTACGCGAGTGCGTGTATATCGCGGAATCCCCGGCTCCTCAGGTACACTTGCAGGGCAGGGTGATTTTCGATGTTGCTCAGGGGCACCCAGCTATCTTCAGTTGGCGGGCGGTCTTTCCAGCGAACGAGGAATTCAATCCTCCTGATTCCCGTGGGGTGGTGGATCCGATGGCTCAGAATTTTTTCGGGCTCGATGATCGGCTCTGATGCAGGGCGAGTCATTGATTGTGGCCGGTGACGCGGCAGTTGACTTGTGGTCGGGATGTATGGGCGAAGTAGGCTGACGTGGAACGAAGGGCTGATGTACCAGTCGATTGGCAACAGTAGGTGCGCGGTAACGGGTGTGATCATGTGACTGATTTGGAATGGTCCACAGTAGCGCGGTCGTAATTTTGGTACGTCGGGCAGTCGCAGGTTTTGCGTGTCAAGCAGTACGTAATCTCCAGATTGGTACGTGACAGGACGGCGGTGGCGATCAGCGTTGCGCTTAGCGATGACGTTGGCCTTTTTTATTGCTTCGGCGGCTCTGGCGCGGGCAGCTTGCAGGATTTCGGCGAATTGTTGTGCACGTGGTGTTGGGTTGTCCGGACTCGGCGTCATGGGCACTGTGGGGTTTTGCCCATGGTTCAGGTAGAACGGGGACTGCTGCGTCGTGGCTGATGTGGCGTTGTTGTACGCGAACTCGATCAGCGGCAGCTGCTGCTCCCAGGTCGTGGGGTCGTCACACGTGGCACGAATCAACTGCTCCATCGTCTGATTTGTCCGTTCCGTTTGGCCGTCGGTCTCGGGGTGGTACGACGAACTGAACTGTAGCCTGGTCCCGAACTGCTCCCAGAGGTTCTTCCAGAAGTTGCTGGTGAACTTCGTGTCCCTGTCGCTGATAATTGCTGCTGGTATCCCGTGCAGGCGAACAACGGCTGCGATGAACAAACGAGCGGTCTCTTCGGCTGAGATCGACTTTTTGCACGCAGCGAAGTGTGCCATCTTCGTCAACCTATCCACGACGACCATCACCGCGTCGTTACCCCCAGGGTTCGAAGGTAACCCTGTGACGAAGTCCATGGTTACTTGCTGCCAGGCGCGTTCGGGCGGTGGGATCGGCTGCAATTGACCCGCCTTCCGCTTCCTTGAACTCTTCATCACCTGACACGTCGGGCACGAGCCCACGTGCTGCTGTACGTCGGTCAACAGCTCCGGCCAGTAATAATACCGCTGCAGTTGCTGTCGCGTTTTTTCTACCCCGAAATGTCCCGAGGTAATCCCGTCGTGTGCCTCCTGTAGTAGCAGCTCCCTCAGTAGTGAGTACGCGGGTACCCAAATGCGGTTGGTGCCTGTTTTTACGTAATAAACTCCTTTTGCTTCTGCCAGTTGCTGTGAATTTCTGGTCGTGAAGAATGGGTCGGTGCGGTATCCGTGGGTGAATAGGCCAGTTAAAAGTGGGTTGGTCTTGGCGAGTAGGATGGCGTGGAGTTGGGCGGTGGGGCGGGTGAGAGCGTCGGCGATGTTGGATGCGCCTTTTTTGTACGTAACGGTGTAGTGAAAATTGGACTCGAGATAGTCCAACCAGCGAATCTGTCGTGGGTTGAGATTCGGTTGGGCGCGAAGGTACTGTAGCGAGCGGTGGTCTGTCCGTACTGTCACGTCGGCGCCAGTCAGGTAACATCGCCAAACTTTGAACGCGTGCACGATCGCTAGCATCTCGCGGTCGTGTATCGGGTAGTTACGTTCGGGCGGGTGTAGTTTGCGGGACTCGTACGCGATTGGCTGGAGGCCGTTCCCGAAGTCCTGCAACAGTACTGTTCCCACAGCGATGTCACTTGCGTCGGTGACGAGCTCGAACGGACGGTGGGGATCTGCAATGTGAAGGACGGGCGGGGAGCACAAAAGATTTTTGAGGGCCGAGAAGGCAGCTTGCTCTTTCTCCCCCTATGTGTACTCAACCCCCTTCCTCAGCAGGTCGGTCAACGGGGCAGTCAGCTTCGCCATGTCGAGGACGAACCGGCGCACGTAGTTGACGAACCCCAGGAAACTCTGCAACTCGGTCAAGTTGGTCGGCGCGTGCCAAGCCTGAATCGTCGCAATTTTCTTCGGGTCTATTTCCACTCCTGCAGCTGAAATAACATGTCCCAAAAACTCCAGGCGGTCCTGTAAAAACTCACACTTAGATGCTTTGGTCAGTAGGCGGTTCTCACTCAGGATTTTAAAAACTGCTTCGATGTCTTGTAAGCGCTGTGCTCTGTCAGGGCTGTAAATCAGTATGTCGTCCAGATAAACGATGACGCACTTATCTAAAAGTGGGCGGAATGCTTCGTTCATGGTCATTTGGAAAGTGGCGGGGGCGTTGGTCAGTCCAAATGGCATGACGGTGTATTCGAAGGATCCGTAGCGTGTTCGGAATGCGGTTTTAGGGCAGTCGGGTGGGTTGACGCGGATTTGGTGGTAGCCTCCTCGGAGGTCGATTTTCGAGAAAACCCGGGCTGTGCGCAGTTGGTCGATCAGTTCGTCGGCTCGTGGGATGGGGTAACGGGATTTGATGGTAACCCTGTTCAGTGCCCTGTAGTCGATACACATGCGAAACCCCCCGTCCTTTTTCGGTATGAACAGTATGGGTGCGGCGAAGGGCGACGAACTAGGGCGAATGAATTCCTTTTCGAGCAGGTAATTGAGCTGCTTCCTCAGTTCGTCTAGTTCGGGTTGGGTCAGTCGGAACTGTCGCTGTACTATTGGCTGTGCCCCCGGTTCCAGTTCTATCCTGTGATCGTGCGGTCGCTGAGGTGGCAGTCCCGTCGGCAGGTCGTCCGGGAAAATGTCACTGTACTGTTTTAACAGTGCCGCCAGGTCACTCGGTACGTCGGTCAGCAGTTTCTCTAAATCGCCCCCCTTGTCTGCTGCCTCGGCTTCCCGAATGTCAACCGCGTACACGTCGGCTCCGGCCGCAACAGCGCGTTTCATCGTGATCGCGCTGACACGCACCGACGAAGACTCAGGCGAGCCCCAGCGAGGTAAGGCGATGTTGTTACCGTTTACTCGCACGGTGCAGTCACCCGTCGTCCAGTCAATTCGCGGATTGTGTCGTCGCAGCCAATCACGCCCGAGTAAAATGTCGGTTCCGTCGAGGGTCGTTGCGAGCATTTCCTGACTAAACGTGAAGTTACCCCCGCATCGAATCCGAACTCGGTCTACGCGTTCCCGTATTGCCAGCGGCGTGCCGTCTACCAGTCGTGCGTCGATCTCAGGTAAGCATCTGTCCAGTGGCAGTCGCAGTTTCCGTGCTGTAGCAGTGTTAATGAGGCTGTGGCTGGCTCCCCCGTCTACGAAGATTTTAACTAAGTCCGTCCCAATTTTCCCACTGAGCAGTATAGGGCTGTCTACCGTGGTACCCTCCTTATTCGGCCGGGTGTGGTCGATTGCGTGAACCGGCACAATCACTCGGTGAGGGTCGGTTGGGTCGGGCGAGCGGCGTGACCTATCAGTAGAGGGCCCGTCTGCTACTGACTTCCAGCATTTCCCTGCTGCTTGGTCTGTGTCTGCTGCTCAGCTTCCCCCTTTCCCTTAGCGTTTTCCGGGCATTCGCTCTTGCGATGTCCCGGCCGATTGCACGCAAAGCAGCGCCCTTTGAATGGTGCGGCAGCGGCATTTGCGGTGACGGCGCGTATCGTGGCGCTCTCGTTCGTCCCACGAGGCCGATGTCCCCAGGTGTTGTTTCCGTAGGACCCCGGTCTCGGTCGGCGAAAGAAGTCGAGCTTCTCCGCCATAGCGAGAATTTCCTGAAACGCAGTGACGC